TTGCGGTTTTTAACAAGAAGTCGAAAATATCACTTTTCACCAAAAAATGACAAAAATATTCACCAAAATTAGAGAATTAAAGATATCATTACAAAATGAACAAATCTGAGAGAGGTCCACATGTAGTACCTATATATGTAATATCAAAGCATTTGCACTTGCGGTTTTTAACAAGAAGTCGAAAATATCAGTTTTTACCAAAAATGACAAAAATATTCACCAAAATTAGAGAATTGAAGATATCATCACGAAATGAACAAATCTGAGAGAGGTCCACATGTAGTATCTATATATGTAGTATCAAAGCAATTGGACTTGCGGTTTTTAACAAGAAGTCGAAAATATCAGTTTTTACCAAAAATGACAAAAATATTCACCAAAATTAAAGAATTAAAGATATCATTACAAAATTAACAAATCTGAGAGAGGTCCACATGTAGTACCTATAGATGTAATATCAAAGCAATTGCACTTGCGGTTTTTAACAAGAAGTCGAAAATATCAGTTTTTACCAAAAATGACAAAAATATTCACCAAAATTAGAGAATTAAAGATATCAACATGAAATGAACAAACCTAAGAGAGGTCTACCCAAGGTACATATACACCAAGTATCAAAGCATTTAGGCTTGTAGTTTTCAAGAAGAAGTCGAAAAAGTAAAACATTGACACGGACGACGACGACGGACAATCACTCATATGATAAGCTCCGCTCGACAAAGTCGACAGCGGAGCTAACAAACTGTTACTCATGGCTGCTGTACACAAATAATGTTTGCGCGTGCAGGATTCATTGTATTGCTGTCACGCACAAAGTAGGCTGACATCATTGATGTTTCCGTGTGCTATATTATTGACCAATTACAGTCTGCATAAGAAAACAAAGGACGTCACTACGTTCCACGTAATAAACTCAGTTTTGAGACTACGAATATCAGGACTATTTTTAGATTAAATTGTTATATGCAGACACATTTATTATTTTTTATCTATAAAATCAATGGTCCGACGGACTATTAGTGCTTTTAATCCGCAAAATGTCTTTTTTTTTTTTTCATCTACTGTAACCTGTACCAGCTATCTACCCTTGCTTCCCCACTGCATATGCCCATAAGAAAACGCAAAGCTTTGTGATGAGTCTTTAAACAAGCAGCCTATCGGCTGAGATAGCTCCGCTGTTAGCAATGCACATGGCAATTAAAGAACAGAAGATATCATTAGAAAATGAACAAATCTGAGAGAGGTCCACATGTAGTACCTATATGTATAATATATCAAAGCAATTGGACTTGCGGTTTTCAACAAGAAGTCGAAAATATCACTTTTTACCAAAAATTACAAAAATATTCATCAAAATTAGAGAATTAAAGATATCATCATGAAATGAACAAA